TCGATACCTTGGGAATGCCTGCATCCACGGGCCCAACCGCAGTCGCCACATCCTGTGGGGTGATATAGACGACATCTCCTATCCTTCCTGGGGTGACCTTATGGTCAAGAAGGGTGCCCTCCTCGTTGAGCCTTGCACTAAAGGTAAGAGAAGGCCGACCAGGAGCCAAGGAGAACTCGGCGACAACTGCTTCATCTGAAATCATCTTGTCCACATGCCCTGGGAGATAACTGGTTTGGGTCATGAGAGCTGCCCGCTTGGCTAGCGAGCTGTCCGGTCTAATTCTTGACGTCGGGTCGGCAATGTGTACATGGATCCAGTACTCGCCCTCTTTGTCTGTTTTCTCCAGCGAGACACCATCATCGATCTCTTTGGCATTCGGAGCGTCGATACAGTACACAGTTGAGGTGGAGAAATCCTGGCGGAGGGGGGCAAGTACGTCTTCGGCAAGCTCAGCTGGCTGTTGCTCCTCAGGACTCGGGAGTAAACCGCCCGCCCGGTTGACCTGAAGGCCTGGAAGACGCAGGCTATGACGGGCATGGATTTCCCAGGGCATGAGCCAGCCGATTTCTTGCAGGAAGGTCCAGCCCACTGTAGCGTCAAGCACGTCGGCATCTTGGTATCTCCCGAGGGCACGCAAGACGGCCGCACCAATCCACTGGTACTTTGAGCTGCGCGGAAACACATCCGAGGCTGCCCACATGTGAATAACCCCGATAACAGTCAAAGCATCCTGAGACCAGGAGTAAGTCGAGGCTGGTAGGACTCTGGTGGTGGGACCGAGCATTCCGTGGCTCGACCACTCGCGCATTTTCCGGCTGTGGTCGATAGCCAATCGAGCCTGCCTCAAGACCGGTTCCAGCCGGTCATGTTCCCTGCGTGACTTGCGATCCAGGAGTTCGGGGCTGTAGTGGTCGCGCACCATTCTCTCAACTCGAGCAACGTTCTCGATATCGGACCTAGCGGCAACGTGAAAGATGATGGAGCTTGGGCCGGCAGTCCCCTGGCCGAGTGGGTGGAAGAAATCATCGAAGAATGTGCGGATGTTGTTGTAGACTGCGTATAGAGCGGCTGGGGGGAAACCGGTGGATGACTGCTTGAGCTTAGGAGGGAGAAGGAACTCGGCAATCTCACCCAGCGTCATCAACTGCTCTTCCTCAGGAAGATGCCGATGCGGGTTGCTCAACCGTTCAAGGTTGTTTTGGTAGATCTGTCGGGAGGTGTTTTGGAAGTCGAGCATTTTGGTGATCAAGCCGGCACCGTGCTCGCGGGTCGGGCCTGCACGGAGTTTTTGGAGCTCGACCAAGATGGACATGTCACCCACGGTCGAAGGCAATGCACCGATGACTGGCTGCAGATCAGCAGAGTTGGTGATGAAGTTCTTGACGATAAAACCGGATTTGAAGTTGCTGCTGGCGAACCACTTGCCGGTGACTGCGTAGAAATGATCGATGCCATTGAAGCTTCCCAAGCAAACGGCGAGAACGCCAATATTCCAGTCCTCGGACTTGAGTTCCACCAGATCACCGGCTTGGACCCGAGGGGTGACCTGAGTGTCGATCAGATCTTGATCATGGACCTGAGCAGTGGCATTGTCATTGTCAATATTCTCTATCTCGAGCATGTGCTCGGATCGCTTTGATGTAAATGCGTTGATAGGCCGGTCCGGAAGTGCGAAATCCGAGGGGATAGAGTGAAAGGGTTCTGGATTCTCAGCTTCCCACTGCTTCAACCGTTGTCGAATGGATAGCTGTGCAGATCTTTTTGTTGTCTTTGGTTGACTGTCTTGAAGATACTGCAAGTCCGGTTCCAACGGCAAGGCGAAATCCTCCAGAGCCTCATTGGATATCTCTGGTATCTTCCTACCGAGTAGTGACGTGGAGGTGGACAGACCTTGTCGCCTTTCGTGGAAGAGGCGAAGGGTGCGGTCCCATTGTCGGGTCGGCCGTGGTGCTATCGATGCTGACGATATCGGCCACGATGCTAGTGACGACAACGATGCGACTCGGGCTTTACGGGTATTGAGGGCAATGTGCTGCCCGGACTCTTTGCGGGAGAGACATTGCCAGCATACATATGGCTGGCGGCTGGATGGGCGCATCATACTTGCAGCCCAATGGATTTGTCGACAGCTTTGAGCCTGCGGATCTCGAATCGTTGACTTGATCGTCGACGTTCGGTTTCAAAATCTCTTAACGCGGGTGTGGCGTTCCAGCGCGCCAATGGGCCGTGTGTGGCCCTGCGGGTTGCACGCGAACTCAGATGATGACTTTTCTTTTGGCCCATTAAAGATGGGTACACATTCAACCCTAACCCTTTGTTGTTTCAGTCGGATGACGATCATTCAGTCGCCAACCAGCTTCCCGAGACATCAAGGTCAAGCACAACACACCGAAACTTCACATCATACGGCATGGATGGACACCAAAATAGAACATGCTAACTAAACGGCTCTTGGAGGTTGGAGAGGTACCCGTTTACCCCAAATCTTCCAGAGAAGTCTCGACTTTCTTGGTAGTCCTTGGCTTGATAGCCGATAATCCATCTCCAGACTCACTCGTCGCTTGGTTTCATGGGGTCAGCCTCGGCTCTGGAGATGCCCAGACATCCGAGTTGGTTGTTGCGAGATGAGAAATACCGGGGAAGGTCCAGAGGGAAGAAAAAGGACAGGTCAAGATAAGAGGCTCCGGGCCCTGAAAACGCTCGTACAGTCCGCATTGCATGACACTTCTCGAGAGAATTTCGGGCACAGCAATTCATCGAACTTGCTATTCCCGAAGTTGTTGAACGACGTCGTGTTGAAGAATCCAAAGTCCTGCTGTCGGCCTGTCTCCAAAGATGCAATCAGAGCAGGTGCCCGCTGACCAATGGCATCACCCCAGCATGTCCGCAAGTGGAGTCACGCAGCTCTTATGCAGGTACCTACGAATCCACCCGCTGTTTTGGAGAGCTCGAGAGATCCGCCGAAGGACCCGCATTGCCCAGGAACCACTTTCCCTCGGTTTTTGATATCTCTGGCTTTGGCTCCCTGGTTTCACAAGGCTTCCATGTCGCAATGTCCCCGGATTGCATCGTATGAGGATGGGGCTACACTGGCGTGCACGCGCAGTCTTGCACTGTATTCGTCAGTAACAATATTAGGCTGTCCGCCACAGGGAAATCAGCGGATAATTGGCCTATGTGAGATGTCAAGCGGGAGGCTCCTGTTTGGGGAACACCCCCCTCCCCTCAGACCACTCGAGATTTCCTTGGTCTTGTTATCACTTGTTAGTCTGCGTGACAAGCTTAAGATGGTTTGTTCATACGCACGGTAGGTTGGCCCTTTTACTGCAGACAAAGTGCCTGTGCCCTTTTGCTTCTTCTAGATCTCAATGCAGCCAGGATCGGGAACAGGGCGTGTTAACCTAGCTGTGGCTGTTTCAACTGGCCACGACGGGCAACGTTGCTAATATCGCTTATTTGATTTCCCAAGGCACGTCTCTTCCTGGCTCACATCGAACAACCGGGTCAGCGAATCCCTTGATCCCCTATTCCGACTTGCGACTGAGTGCTGGACCGGCTTGTAGTGTACAGCAACCAAGGTACACTACCTAGTCACAACCTAATGTCACTGCAATTGACAGGGGGGAGTGTGCCTGGTGGAACCCAAAAACCACAGCGGAAGTAGCGTTGGACCTCGCGTACCTCTTACCTTCCCGCATGTCTGTGTGTAATGTACACCTAGGTATGGCGTACCTGCTTAATCTGTGCCTCCAGTCCGCTGCTGGCATGGAGGGTTCCTGGCTCCTTTCTTTGTCATTGCACTCACTGCAACCATGACCTCCACTCGACTCTTCCATCGTCTCCCTCTTTCCCACACCTTCTCAGAAAAGACCCCCTCGCTCGAAGGCTCTTCGCCAATCTGCCAACGCCACCACTACACACCTTGGCTCCAGACCCTCGCGGCCAATCCACCCAGTTATTTCGCAGGAAGCCATGCTCATATTTGGCCTGTGTTGCATGTACTCGACGTCCCTCTATCCCCGTTATCCGATCATCGCCAAATCAATAAAGCCAAATTGGTTCAAGAAGACGGCGCTTGTGATTGCACGCACCCGGTTTTCACCTTCAGATACGAGACACCAGGTACAACTATCGTGTTTGCCCATGATGCGGCCTATCAGCTCCACATAGGGCCGTCTAGTGTAATTCTAGGTTCTCTGGTATTGTATGTACAATGTGTTCGTCTATATCGCCGGGTCCATGGATGTGATTGGCCTGCCGTCGAATTGGCTTTTTAGTCGCCCGCACATCCCCTCACCCGGTCGTATCTCAACACGAGACCCTTTTCATGCACAGAACCGCAAGATGGAAGCAACTCTGAGGGATCATGAAGAAAAAGACGGTGTCCAGGGACTAGGTGTTGCCGGTCTGACGGGCTCAGCTCTCGTTCTCTAATGAAGGTCCACATCCAAGGGTCAGAGTCGCATCCACCACTCGCCAAGCGCGGGCTCACCGTCCACTCGCCGGACAGGCTGACGACAGGGATGATTGGGGGACCGAGAAGGGTAAGGTCGTCTCCGCCATGGCCAGGGACCGGAAAGAAAACGAGGAGGACGGGGAGGACGGGGAGGACGGAGTGGACGGGGTGGACGGGGTGGGCGAGGAGGATGGATCGAGCTTGTGGCCGACTGGCCGCCGAACAGATGCCGTGCTCGATTATTCGCGGACGCCATCCAAGTCGTCGCAGTCGAGTGCTCGGGATGGGAGGATGGGTCTTCATGTGCCCTTGTGCAAGTTGTGGGCCGCACCAGGAACCAAACTCTCTCTCAGGATGGCGCTCAGGGGTCCCATGGCGACCGTGACGGACGAACGAATGGCGCCCAGTCAGAACCTACGAACCAAGTAAAAGTGGCTGCCACCGACTGCCACCCTCCCCGGTCCTGCAATGAGTACTAATATTACTGCCATCTCTCCCGTCTGGCCCGATCTTTTCTTTTGCTTCCCCTTTCCCTTCCTTCACCTGCCCATCGTGCGTGTTGATATTCAACATCGATAGCCTCTTTTGCGCTTTCGATCTTACACTCTTTCTTTCTTCACCACACCACCGCTTCACTCTTTTAGCGGGCATTCGTTAATCAGACGCCAATCGCACGAATTACCATTCAGCGAATCACCTAATTACCACCGACAACAACAACCCCAAAAAATCACAAGGAGCAAAGCAAAGAAGACCAGGGTCAATATGAAGGGAATACTTGTTGCGGCCAGCGCGGCCATCCTCGCCGGCGGCGCGAGCGCCAACAGACTTCACCACCGTCACCTCCACCAGCCCTTGTTCGAGAAGAGGGTTCACAACGACACCGAGATCTGTGTCCCCGGCTGCACCACCATCTGGACCACCATCACTGGTCCTGCCGGCCGTACGTTGACCTTGGAAGCTGTCTCTTTGCTCAGAAAAACTAACATGTCGCACAGTCTACACTCCTCCCGCCCCTCCCTCCACGGCCGTGCCTGCCACCTCCTCGGCCATCACCACCAGCGAGGCCTTGCCCACCCTCTCCTCCTCGCTGGTCTTCGCCAACTCCTCCTCGATTGTGGTCCCTAGCACCTCCTCGATTGCGATCCCTAGCACCTCCTCGATTGCGGTCCCTAGCACTACCGAGGTTGTTGTGGTCCCCACCACCACCTCCCAGGGTCCCGTCACCGTCCCCACCCCGATCCAGCAGACATGCCCTACTCCGGGCACCTACACCTTCCCGGCCACCACTGTGGTCCTGACCGAAACCAAGACCGTCTGCGGTGCCTCTTCCACCGTTGTTCCTAGCGGTACCCACACTCTTGGTGGTGTTACCACCGTCGTCGAGACTGCCACCACCGTTGTCTGCCCGGTTGCCACCACCAAGACTGCCGAGAATGGTGTTGTTACCAGCGTCGTTGAGCTGACCACCTATGTCTGCCCCAGCGCTGGTACCTACACCATTGCTCCCATTACCACCACTGTCACCGACAGCGAGCCCGTCACTGTCAGGGTCCCTGTTGTCGAGACCTACAACCCCGGCACCTACTCTGCTCCCGCCGTCGTCACCACGATCACCGAGACCGACGTTGTCGTCTACTGCCCCTTCACCGCCGTTGAGCCTCCCGTTACCTCGACCCAGGCTCCCGTCGTGCCCACCACCTCCGTGGCTCCTCCCGTTGTTTCCGTGGCTCCTCCCGTTGTCTCCATCGCTCCCCCTGTTGTCTCTGAGGCTCCCCAGGAGCCCTCGAGCACCTCTTCCGCTGTCCCTGTCGTCTCTGCGGTTCCCTCCTCGAGCACTTCTTCTGCGGTCCCCCAGCCCACCGCGCCCACCGGCAACCTCGGCGGTAAGGGTGACAAGTGGGCCATGACCTACACTCCCTTCACCCAGGACGGCCAGTGCAAGAACGCTGCCGACGTCATGACCGACATCAAGGCCATCGCTAATGCTGGCTTCACCACCCTCCGTGTCTACTCTACTGACTGCGACACTCTCCCCAGCGTCGGTGCCGCTGCTGAGGCCACTGGTCTCCGTCTTATTCTCGGCGTCTTCATCGGCACTGCCGGCTGCGAAAACGGCTCCCCCAACGTCTCTGAGCAGATCGCCGCCATCAAGTCCTGGGGCCGCTTCGACATGGTTGACCTTGTTGTCGTTGGTAACGAGGCTCTCTTCAACGGCTTCTGCACCGTTGGCCAGCTCAGGGACCTTATCAACCGCGTCAAGTCTGAGCTCGGCAGCGCCGGTTACTCTGGTCCTTACACCACCACTGATGTCGTCTCTGCTTGGCAGTCCATGGACATGACCGACATCTGCAACGTCATCGATGTCGTTGCTTGCAACTCTCACGCCTACTTCGACGCCAACACTGCCCCCGAGCAGGCCGGTACTTTCGTCGCTGGCCAGCTCGCGATTGTTGAGAAGGTCTGCAACAAGCCTGGTTTCGTCATGGAGACTGGTTGGCCCACCGCCGGTGAGTGCATTGGCAAGGCCTGCCCCGGTCGCGAGCAGCAGAAGACCGCTCTTGCCGCCATCAAGCAGGAGATGGGTAAGAAGGTTGTCTTCTTCTCCTTCAGCGATGACCACTGGAAGCAGCCTGGTTCTTGCAACTGCGAGCAGCACTGGGGCTGCGGTGAGATTTTCGGTGTCACCCTCTAAAGCGTGAAGAAGATATCAGGATTGCGTAAATGAAGCTGTTGGATACGGTTGGATATAGAGGATGTTCTTTCCCATTCTCCTATTCTGCTCTTTCAGGATTTGTGTCTTGATTTTGGAGGAATAGGAGGGCGGGAGAGAGGTAAATAAATGGATACTTTTTTCAAACCATGCGCGTCGAAGTCAACTCATCGGTTTTCTTGGGCCCCTTCTCCAATTATATATACATATATAATACGTTCCCTGTATCACCGTTGTCACTTCACTTGTCATTGTTCCTCACCACTTGTGTGCGTGTGTGTGTGTGTGTACAAGACATATTCACATTCAGCTCCGGTCGATCTGCCATTTAGCGAGTCAACCCTGGGATCTACATACGACCTGTCTATCCCCCGCGTTGCAGATGATCGTCACGACTGATCGTCTTGTCCTTGCCTCCCCAACGCAACAACGGGAGATGTGCAGATCAGAGTCCGGGGAAAGAACACGCACATACTTACACACGCACACTTGACAACGATAAATGTTCCACCCCTTGGGCTTCCTTTCCAGGGTTGACTCGCTGGTTGGGCGTACATACCTTCATACCTATATACCAACATGTCTTCTCTCTGTTCGAGACACGGACAAGGGGTGTCAAGTTTATTATACAATTAGGTTGATGCGCGGAAAATCGTGTTCATGCATCTTGTGCCTTGTCACATGTACAAGCACACAATCGCATGCTGTTATCGCTGTTGGGGAAATCGATACACACGGACGATGCTGTGCGGTGCGATGGATGCGCACACACAATCATACTGGTCTCCTTTGTAATACTCGAGGTTATGTTCTTTGTTCATGTGTTTATCATGTCTCTTACTGTTGTCGGTTGGTACTCATCATTTTGATACACATTCGTTGTGATTCCTTATGTCTATGTCTAATTTTTTATTCTTCTTCTTTTTCCCCCCTCTGTGTGTATCTGTACCTCAATATCCAATGTTATGTGATCTGTTGAGGGTACATGTAAAGAGGGAAGTATATTCACGTATCATCAGGGTATAAACATCTAGCTCTACTGTCCAATACAACTAGTTCGTATATCAACTCGAGATTCTAGAGCAACTTCCCTGGTTGTTGTTATGTCTCATGGTTCGTTTCGTCCTATGGTCAAAGCTTGATGTTGTCTTGAGTATACTCCTTCTAAAATGCAATGTCATATTAAATACTGTGATATCTTTCTGAACCGCGCCTATAGATTCATTTTGTCCTTGTAAGGGTTGGGTCAATCTGGGATTAAATTTCCTCCAGTTTAATTTGAGTACTTAGCTAATTAGTAAATCAGCATTAGATGGTACACATAATCGGTGTGGATGAAAGGATAGCATACTATAAGCTTGATACTTTTCGCTACGTTCATATACACCAAACCCAGGGTACTGATCAGTTGATACATTTCTCTTTATTAATTCACTCTCGCCGACCACTACCTCTACCACCACCACCCACAACCACATGGGCAGTCCAACGGTACATAACAACAAACCATTTCCATGTTGGTTCAGCTTTTACATTACCTCTAATAATTACATACTACCATACATACTGGAAAATTTGGGGATTCTGTCAGCTCTCCCATCAACAAGCCAGTGAGAGCCAGACTAGTGGTTGAGTCGCTAAGACATCAAAATGTATGTGACTGCCTCTTTCCCCCCTTTTCTTCATTTGTGTCTTTTTACTTCTCTTCTTTCTTTGGTGAAGCGAATATAACACTTTCTTGCTCTATTTTCATTACTAGACTAGGGTCTACTACTAGAAGGGAGGGAGGGAGGAAGCAAGAGGCAGGCGTACATATAAGTACTTGGCTACCTATTCAAAGATGGAGTCTGAGCTACAGAAACAAGGGGAAAAAGAATCACAGAAAGACAGGTTGAGTCTGAGATAGAGGAAGAAGAAGAAGAAGAAGGAGAAGAAGAAGGACGAGACAGGCAAATGTAACAAAGTAAGTTCACAACTATACCACTACCCGGATAACTTGCTTAATCTTATGAAGAAGAAGATAAGAAATAAGAAAAATAAGAAGAAAAAAAATTCCCTAGTGACTGGAAAGAGCGAGAGTAGTACATTAACAGTCTTAAAATACTGCCTTGCCTATCAGTATATCCCGCCGCTATTGGGGAGGAACAGTATTCTTGACTAGGTACGTAGTGGACTTTAATGTGATACCTCTACTTCCAGCTCACAACACACGTATGATGGCGAGGAGATGATAAAGTCGAACTCCTGAGACCGTGCACGAAATCAACCTGAGTAAACTTCATTCTTTAGGTAGCCACTGCAAATCTTATTGAGTCTGAGTGTCTTTTGTTTTTACCTCTTTGGGGACAATCTGGATTTTTAGTCTGATTATTATTGTCCCAAAAATCTTTTGTTTTTATTTCAGAAGTTTCTTTTTGTACTGAGAGCAGGTCAACGGAATCGCATCCGCAATCGCAGGAGTCAGAGGTACGTACCTCTAGGCACGCAGGTGTGTTTCTGGTAGGTTCATTGTGGTTGATAAATCCGAAGCAATCGAACTAACTTCTCAACGGGGAAGGTACAGTTTCCTTCCCGTTAGACATGATGGTATCTAAAGCAGGAACTACAGATATCGCGGCTCGATGATCATGATCAACTTGGGTAATGAGAATGATGATGATGTGAATAAGGACCTAGAGGTAGAATTCACCAAATGTACAACTATTGCACCTAATTCAGTTCACTTTACCACCCGCTGCCCGCTGAGATACGAATGAAAACCTTAAAAGGACCAATGGAGAGAATGATACAAATGTTGTCCGCGAAATTTGAACCAACTGCAAAACAGCCCAACGAAAAAGAAAAATAGAGGTATCGTGAACGCTAAAAAAATGCAATCGAACTGAACTGAATCCTTGATAAAGGATACCACATTGACAAGCTTCGCTTCCGTGGTAAGGATTCATATACGAGTCGAGTTCCTTCCCTTTCATGAAACACCTAGTAAGTCTTTCCTTCGTCCTTTTCATTCCTTAGCAGGAAAAGAACGATCTAATGAAAATGACCCGTTGTGCTTGACTTTGGAAACTTCCTGACTTTCTTGAAAACACCTTCGCGTATCCTTCGAAAGAATCCCAAATGCCGCAAACTCGATCCTCTTGGCCGTTTGCTGGTCGCTTAATAAGGATAACGCCTCGGATTTGTGACAGCGGGGTGCGTCTGAGGGTAAATATATAGAACTGTTCACGAAGGTCTTCCATTTAAGACCTAGTATTGATCCTCCCTGCGAAATATGTACCGAGAGTTGCTGCTTTCGAGACATTGCGTTCCAGCTTGTGAAGACAGAGGCTTCGTGAGCCAGGTATCACGCTAGTGCTCCACACTAACTGATCTTCGACGTGAAGCTCGACCTCCTATAATGATGCTCTCCAGGCGGTGGCTTCCATATTGTTGGATGAACGTATTTTTACCGTTGGCGTGCGTGACGAAATTTGTTCTTGCTGGCGCCAAACGACCCTTCAAGCCCATTTCAGAGGGTACACACAGCCCAATGTTAGCCATGGTGTTCGTTTTGTTTCCTCGTCTCTCGTCAGCCCCTCCCAGAGATACAGTAGCACTCGCCGAATTGCCCGAGGCATATGCTTTTGTCGCCCATTGCGGGAGGGGTTTCCATCAAGCTCAAAAAGGCCCCAGATCAGCTAACGCCGCGCGTCTTTGACTTCTCCAAACTACGCTATTCTTGATGCGCTTCTCCTCGGTGAAAGAAGATTGTAACCAGTCAGAGTCACCGCTTCCTCCCATGTGTCGCCCATAATATCGATAATCCAAGCCTCGCTCGTCGAAGTCTCCTGTCATCATCTGACTCATTCCGCACCGCTCCAACTGTAGAAGGCCTCCTCGTGTGGGATCGTAGCACAGCACCGTGAGGTCCTGCCCGCTGTTTGTGAACGAGACACCGCCGATCTCGGCAAACACGTCGACTGTTTGCTTGGAACGGAAGGTCTGTGCATCGATGATGTTGATGTAGTCGGCTTCCTCGGCTGCGACGAGTACACGCTTGCCACTGCCGATCGGCGAGAATTGCAAGTTCCGGACTCCGGCCATCTCAGCACGTATCGTGCATAGTGGTGTCGAGGACCCGTTGCTGTCTGTCCAACGGCGGGCGTCCCAAATCGTGATTGCTTTGTCCTGAAAACCTGTGGCTACTGTCCATCCATCGTCTGCCCAGGCGCAGGAGAAGCCGTGGTCACGATGACCGGAGAGCTCCTGAAGGATTTGGAGTTTCCCACCTCCCAGCGTCGACTCGGTCGTGGTGATGAAGACGTTCTTGTGGTCTCCAACAGCGACACGCAAGCGACGGTCAGGAGAGACCGCGGTGCAATTCAGCGGGAAGTCGTAAACTTCGTGAAAAAGCCATTTCTCGGTGGTGATATCCAAGACGCGGAAGACGGCGTCGTTCGATGCAAAGCCAGCCAGAGGTCTGTCGGAATTTCGGTCTTGATAGACTTGGGCATGATTTGTAATGCCACTTTGATTGCTGGTGATGATACCCTCGTGGCAGGCTGATGACTCTGGCTCGTCAGAGTCCATATGGCGAAGTGTGTACTCTCCATTGAAGCTACCCGCTATGAGGACACCGTGACCGGCGGCCATAGTAGATACATGTGAGCCTTGGGCATCGCCGAGCTTCATAACTACTCGAGTCTTCCCCGAGACTGGGTTGAACTGGTGTACAGCGCCGCTGCCGGGATAAAAGATCTTAGTACGAGAGGTGGTGGCCAATATGTTTCGTAGTTGAAAGTGCGACAAGTTGATGTTGGACTTGAAATCCATACGCCGGAACTTGAAGAAACTATCGGTGCCAGGTAAGCTAACATCGGGACAATTTTCCTGTGACACTGGTAAATATACATGTTTAAACAGGGGTAGATTGCGAAGGCTTGTTCGACTCACATCCCACTTGTCAGACCCCGACACGTTGACGTAGTTCCTGTAGGTCAGGAGTCTACGTTGCCGTGCCTCCTGCCTAGTTACCCCTAATTCTTCCCAGTTCACCCCTTGAAAATCACATTGATCCCCAGCAAGGTCTGTGTAGCGTATCCGTGAGAGCTTCTGCGCAGCGAGGTCCGCAATTCTGCTGGGCCATGGATAGGGGCCCCTAGGTAGATGTACTCCTTGCCCTCGATGATCTGGACGAGCCCAGTCATATAACAGTTGGGTGAGGCAGTGGTTGCTTGGACCAAGACTAGTCATGCTATGAGGATTGGGGCCGTGAGCCGGGTGAGGAAAGGTATCAAGCAACGTTGTAGGCGGAACTTGGGGATGCACCGTGTTGATGATGCCGGATATCACCTGTGACGCGGTCGTCGTAGGCAGCCAACCTTGCCCAGTTGTTGCCAGCATCTGGTTGACCAAGTCCAGGGTGAAGGGCGTGAAAGGTGCTGGAGGAGCAGGAGGGTACTGTGAGAACTGCTCTTCGTCTGATAGGGAGGAGGTCATGCTAATGCTATCCTCATGGTCGGCATCGGTATCCATGTCGTTAGTGAGCAAGTTGGCCACTTGTAAGTAGTTCACCAAGGGAGCACCCGCATCGTCGGACATGTCGACGTCGTCGGAGAGATAACCGTCCAGGCCAAGGTAGAAGGAGGGCTGCGGATGGTGGCCCAACATTTGATCAGTATGCAGGTAGTGGTGACCATAGAATAAGCTTTCATGTCCGTCATTGTCGTCGTCGTGCTCTTCCACTTCTTGTTCGCCTTGTCCGTCTTCGTGTTGGTGCTCCTCGTCCTCGACGTCTTCGTACTCGCTACCGCTCTCAGAAAAGTGATTAAGTGGTTGGCCGATCACTACTTGATGGTTCTCCACCTGGTAGTTTATTACCCCATCCTCTTCGCCTGCTATGGTGGACATGGGGATGATGGTCGGCCAGCTGGACCCGGCGACGGCCGAGTTTCCGCTGGGCATGTCGGTAAGAGCGCCAGTACCGTGACTACCCTGGGATACTTGTGGTCGGTTACCGTTCCGCATATTTGTGTCGCGCATAGCGACAGCTGGTGGGTAGGGGCGGAAGTCCTTCAGAGCAAGGTGTTTATTATGGACAGGTCGTCAATATATGGGGCGCATCGGGCGTGGTCGCGACTGAGGGGCAGACGCACGGGAACAGTGGATTGGCCTGATGTGTCGAACTCATGGAAGTCGCGCACTTTTACTCTTCACTTTGCAGTGCCAGTTCAGCTTCAGCTGCTGTTTGGCTGGGTTTGCTCGGCTGGTTGGGCCCGGATCGGGGGCAGAAGGGCAACGGCGGCTGAAACGGGGTTCGGAGATGGGATGGAAATCGGAGAAGGTGGGTTTGTTGACTTTCGCTTCTAAATCCGACTGAAGCCTGCTACCGAGCTAGATGGATTTCCCAGAAAGACAAAAAGAGAAGGGATCGTTTGGATTTCAACGCCTCTTGCTCGTTCGGTTCATGGAAGAGGCGTGCCCATCTTGCGTACCCGACTTGCCTGACTCGTTTCTTTGTCGGGCAAGCGGCCAGTGCGGGCGGTTCAGAAAGGAAGGTGGTGGTGTACAGGTGGTCACTACACAAAGAGCAGCCAGAGTCGAGGTGGTGCAGTGCTTAGGTAGTGCTCATGGTGCAGTGGTGTGGTGCAGGCTTGCAGTGCCCCGCCCTCTCACCTTAGTGGCCGACCGAAGAACGGCCCAAGCCGACGGGCATTCTGGGAAGCCGGGCTGTGCGGCCTTGTCCCTTCGCTGAGCGAAAGCCACTGCACAACGGAATGCGCAATGGGCGCCGTGAAGCTTTGGGACTGGACGGGACGTCTCGAACCATGGTTGCCCTGCTTTGGATGCTGATGAGCGGGCGCCGGCTCACTGGTAAGCTCGAGAACCCCAAGTCTGGGAAGACACGGGCACCTGAATGGCAGGTCTGATGTTTGATTGGACTCGGATAACCAAGATAGACCTGACCTGCGACGGGACCCACCGTTCACAGGCCTTCTTTTGTTTCCGAATCGAGTTGTGCCCACGTCGTTCTCGATGGCGAGCGGATAGGGCGCTTGTGGGCAGGAGTATTTGGGTCTTCATGAAACCGCTTGGTAGATCAAAGAAACATGTGTTGAGGATCAAATGCTTTAGAGAATTCTAACCTGACCGCCAAGCAAGTGGTAGGCCTGAAGAGAAACTGAAGAGAGAGACGAGCAGCCAACCTCACCAAACATAGCAACCGCAGCTTCCCCAGCCAGTGAGGTGTGTCATGAAAGTTTTACAGTATGAAACAAACATGTCTCTCACTCCCACTTGACAAGCAAACCGAGTGGGATTTGGCATTCTTCCCGTCCTGAACTGTCCAGTGACACCACGAACATGAATCCGAAATAGACACAGCTGGTATTCCGGCCTGAGAGAAGGCCAAGAAGGTCCTTGCGAGCTTTGAATCCAGAGGGTCGGGTACACATGGATCTTGGAGTCATGTCGTCGTGACTGAACTGGGTGAAAAGAGGAAAGAGGTAGCGTGGCGGAAAGCGGGAGGTCGAAATCATATTCGGCCCTCCATCTCGTTTCTCAATCAGATGGGTAAAGCCGATGCGGTTTGGGTTGCAGTTGGATCATCCAATGTAAATATGCGATGCGAAGTATACATGACAAGCAGTGCGTGAGAATGCGGGCGCGCGAGGTGGGATAACGGACCCATTTCAGGATGATGTCAGTTGACCCAGGTCATCCTGGTACCCAAAGCTTCGAGGTCTTCTTTGCCAGTCAACTACACTAGCTGTTAAAAAAAACTATCCCCAGATGTATCGACTTCACTAACAGAAGCAACTGCTGCGTACTTATATCAGGAAATCACCTGCGGCATCCCGACGGCTTATCAAGTGCACCGCCCGTTCTCTCGATACGACACCACCCGCTGTAGTACCTAAGTACCTCCACCTAATATACGTACCTCTACTGAACAAGTTCCGAATCATCGGAAAATGGAAGGAAGGATGGGGGACTCCGTTAGTGTGGGGAACGGGGCAGAGGCTACACAGTAATAAAGCAGGTTACATAATTGAATGGTTCAGTTGCTTTCACTGGCCAAACTCAGTCACCATATCGTCGCCGGCCGTCGTCCCCTCTCCCGGCTCTTTACTTTCAATTTTCGACCTGCCCTCCCGGGCTGCGGTGGCCGTGCATGACACCTTGTGATTACTTCGACACTCAACACTCAACAGCCCGCACCTAGCGACGAGCCGTCCGTTTGCTACGCCATCAGGCTGCCCATGCCGCTCGATGCATACAATAGCATAGAACTATATCTTGGTGTACTGGCGTCAAATCAGATCAGATCATATAGGCGAAGGCAAGCAAAGTGTCACCAGGCGCGGGGGGTCCGCCTTGCTCCTGCACACGACACCAAAAAAGCCGGGGAATACGGATTTCTGGGATTTTACAGCAACTGAAGGCCTCGGCGCATGAAAGAGATCATGTTTCCCAAGTCGCTGATCTCGATGGGAAGTAACTATAAAGACGCGTTCTCATGGCTGAAGTATATTTGTTCTACAAAACCTTGCGTATCCTACACCCTATATCTGCCGTTATGCAGACCGTCGCCGCTTACCACGCCATTCGCATATTCGCACACCCTTCCCTCCATCTCCTCACTTTCTTTCTCCATGCCTTTTGAACCCTTGTCGCCTCCCCCCTCCCTCCCCGGCGCGCCAATATTATTACCTAGGTTTGTACCTGTATTATATTACCTATTCATCTTTCCTCGCCGGAGGTTACGCAAGAAACGACGTCGTCAGTCAGTCAGTCAGTTGGTCGATCAGGTCATCCAATACTCTGTTCTAGATATCTGACAACAAAGACTGTCTACACTACACCCTCCTTCACTTCATGATGTGACCCCCTCTTTTACTGGCAACCACTTCTATAGGGCTATTAACAGGAGAGTCGAAGGGAGAATTGACCCATTGTTCGCCTGGCCTAAACTGCTCTGTCCTCCCAAACATGCAAATTTACCAGAACAGAGGTACTGTCTAGATACATAGTAGCTGCCCCCTGTCTGCCTTCGGATAGCTACATTTAATATGGGAAAACATACATGTTAGTCAGCCTACTGTGGCGCTTTTTTGTGCTCGTGCTTACTTCGTTACTGATGCAGTACGGCGAAGTTCATGAGCGGTTATTGTTACTGGATAGATGAACGGAAGAAGTGCTATCCGATCGCGAATGTATGCCAAAAAAAATTAAACCTTCTTCACATAACAATGTCTAAGAGTTAATCCTATCATCAACAGAAAACCCACCCGCCAACCGATCAACCAAAACTGCCACATTACTATCGCCCTTGTCCATGATGAACGTGATGAAAAGAAGCCGAGGGCAGGTTCGATAAACGGATCCCTTCTTTTCCAACAAACACCTGACCTCCGGACAAAGACCCTACCCTACAACAGTAATACTTTAAAAAACAAAGGCATCCCTACACAGCAACACCATATCAAAACTTAAGCGTCCGAAAAGTAGTCATCAAAGTGTCTCCCCTGCTCATGACCTCTCGGCTGGCTGCTTCCCCACCCATTACTGCCCCCTACCCCGGATATGACATTGTCCCTCGAGCCGGCCCAGTACGTGCTCCGGACGCGCCTGTCGCGCTCAAACTCGGCCCAGCGCTTCATGGTGATCATGCTGCTATCAAACTCTCCCTCGGCTTCGCCGTGGCCACCCTTGCTTGATTTCTCGCCGGCCGTCTTGCGCGTGTCGCCCCATGAGAAATCGTCAAACTTCCAGAAGGCGTACGTAGGCAGAACAAAGTTCCACACGGGCAGGGAGAGCAAGTAGATGAACATCCAGATAATGTAGGACCAGCTGTGAGCCGTGACGACGACGAGGATGGCTGGGAGACCGAGGATGAGACCAAGGAGGACGAGGGGAATGATTTGTGGCGGGGAGTTGATGATTGAGATGATGACTAGGTATCAGACATTAGTATTCAGTTGGTCAAGAAAGGAAGAAAAACTGGGGTTGGTGGCTACTCACCAACATAGAAAGTAAAGGCAATGGCGGCAGGCAACACAAGGGTACCAATCAGCTCGATACCGACAATGAACTGCATACTGAAACAAAAGGTACCGCAAAGATCGCGCACGAGAACGAGCTCCATCAGGTTGTGAATGGTCGAGTTGATCCATCTGCGGCGCTGCGAAAGCAACACCATGAATTCATCGGGCACAGTGGTCTTGCAAACCGCCTGAGGCACAAATACTTGCTTACGCTTGGGGAACGTGCGCAACATGAGCGTACTGAGATAACGATCCTCACCAAGGAGCAAAAGGTTCTTCTTGTGCAGCGTATCGACAACGTTCTCGGAGTAGTGTTCGACGACGTCCGGGTTGGCCAAGATAGGGACCCAGTAGTTCTGGGCACCCTTGGGTGCCTTGATGCGGTACATGCAGAAACATCCGGGAAGACAGGTGACACCGCCAAAGACGGACTCGAAAGCCTTGGCGAGATGATGGGAGACGAAATACTCGAATACCTGGATGGCGGAAACCCAGCTTGCTCGCTTGTTGGCGATCTTAGTCTCGCCACAAAGACCCATGATTTCAGGATCCTTGACCATGGCCGAGATCATATGCGTGAGACTGTCGGGGAAGACCTTGGTATCAGCGTCAACCATGAGCACGATCTCATAGAAGTCGGGAGAAATGCCCGTGATCTTCCACAAGCCATTGAACATCTCGTATTCTAGCTCCGTCATACGCTCGTCGAACATAACCTTCTGGAGGAAAGACATAAGGATGATCTGACTGTCACGCTTGCCACGGTTTCCAGGCTTCGACTTGGAGGCTTCAGCAGGAGTACCGCACTTCACGACCATCATCATAGGAACACGCTGCTGCTTCTCCAGAGGAATGGCAGAGTTAGTGCCATAATCGTAGAAGCCGGTGTAGACCTTGGCCATGTTGTGGCGCTTAGAACCAGTTGCAACCGCAACATAAGAGAATGGCTCGACGTCATCGGGGTGAATCGTGTGGTCTTTCATCATGCCGAGAATGATATCGGGGGTTGAGTGTTCCTCTCCGTGGCCCTTGATAATACCATCGCAAATAACGAGGATAACCTTGTGGCTGTTGGGGTAGTCCGTCATTGCAATCGAGTCCAGAGTGGTACGAACACCCATCTCACCCTCGGAGTAGGCTGTGACAAGGCAGATGGTGTGAGCGAGGGGGAAACCAAACGGCATCCAGTCGGAAGGCGGCTGAGGAACGACAGCTTCATGAATAAATCCGGCAGGACCTGGGCCGTCTGCTGGACTGCTGCTTGATCCGTAAGCATCAGATTTGAGGAAGCTTGACCGACTCTCGTTTCCTTGGCCGTATATGGCTCCAGGATGGAGTAGTTGACCAGCGGCATTCTGGCTGGCCATGGTTGTAGGAAGTCCGGGCTTCCTATTGCCGCGCTCATTGCCGTAGACGGTAGAGAAACGAGAGTGTGTGGGCAAGAAAGCACTGCTGCGCTTGCTTTGACGATCGGAGCTTCCAGCGACACTGCTACCGACCTCTCCTGGTAGCCTTGGGGGAGCTCTGTAAATGTCTTCAGTCCAGTCTTCAATCTGGCGGTTTCGCTTTCGCTGGTCAGACGTTTGGGAGGTCTTAGCAGCCGCATACGTCTTGCTGATGAACCATTGAAAGATTAGAGCCAGGACGAATCTGGCGAGGACGACTGCGAGGATAAGGACGAGGGACACATAGAGAACGACCTTTGACGCAATGCAGCCAACTGTCTCGGTATCCACCGAACCGACCTTGATGATCTCCTCAAAGCATTCGGCAATCTGCTTGTCTTTGCTCGACTGGAAGGCATGGGTGATATCGCGTCCACGAATAGCCTGGTTTCCAGCAGTGTTTTTATCCCTCAGCTCCTTGAAGCGGGCGGGATACGTGACTTGAGTGTCGTTGAACCAGTGAAGCAGATCAAGGTCGAGAACATGGCCAGAGTACACAACAAGGTTTCGAGAGCTGTTCTTGATGTCATCCCACGTAAAGTAGACATCGGCGGAGCTCTTGAGGCCGAGATAGAAAGAGTCCCTGGCGTTA